GAGACAGCACCTACCCCATCTGGGACCTCCCAGTGATATCAGCTTAGTATGGGGCCTGGAGAATTCTCTGGGAGTTGTGGAGCCTGCCAGCCAGTTTTCTTTGCTGCTTTGTGCTAAAAGATGGTGCTGGGTGTGACTTCTTGGATCAGGGGCTGACTGGGAGCCTGGGTGGAACTGCCTGGCCCGGCATCCCCATACAGTTCAGAAGAATAGTTCTGGTGCCCGAATACTGGAGCCATGCTTGTAGGGTCAAGCAACTTTTAGATGTAGATATACATATACTCTCACATATATGTATATTTCTTATATATATATGTATATGTATATTTTCTTTTCAGACCACACCCAGTAGTGCCCAGGGCTTACTCCTGACTGTGCTCATGGGTCACACCTGATGTGTTTTTTGGTTTGTTTGTTCATTTTGAGGCGGTCACACCCGGCGATGCACAGAAGTTACCCCTGGATCATGCACTCAGGAATTACACCTGGTGGTGCTTGGGGGACCATATGGAATGCTGGTAATTGAACTCTAGTTGGCCACATGCAAGGCAAATACCCTACCCACTGTCCTATTGCTCCAGTCCCACTCCTGATATTGCTCTGGGGACAATATATGGTCAGGGATTGAATCTGATGGACTGTAATCAAGACAAGAGCCTTAACATTTCTACTATCTCTCTGTCCCTAAAAAATATTTTCAGATGAGTTTAACATTTGCAATCCAGTGGACTTTGAGTGAAGCACATTACTCTTCACATTGTAGTTCCACCTTGGCTAACTAGTTGACTTGAAAACTTTGGCCCGAAGGGCCAAAGCTTGAGATTTCCTGAGGAAAGCAATTTTGTCTGCAATATAGCAATTTTGTTTGCAAGGCTGCAATATAGAAGCTTTACTTGAGTTCCTATTAACTCTGCCTTGCAGATTTTGTATTCAAGATGACAAGACTAATTCTTACCTGAATTTCCAAACTGTTTACTGCCCTCGCCTTTCTCTCCCTGCAATTGTTTGAGTAAAATCCTTAAGTCTCTATATCTTCCTTTTATTTATTTATTTATATTTTTGGCAGGGGGGATGCCCAGCAGTGATCAGGGACTACTCCTGGCTATGTTGTCTGCTCAGAAAAGATTCCTGGCTATTTCATGGGGTATCAAACCACCTTCTGTGCACTCAAGGCAAGCTCCTTACCCTGTGTACTGTAAGTTCTCTTGCTCTCATCTTTGAAAATCACTTATCACTTAATCACTTAATCCCCGTTATTCATCGATTTATTCGAGCGGGTGCCAGTAACGTCTCCATTCATCCCGGTTGCGTGCTAGCGTAGCCCAATGGTATCTGTTCGTTCTAGGAACATGCAGAGCCTCAAACCGATCATTTAGGGTCTTGACGAAGAAGTCTGACCATCTTATAGGTGGGCGTCCACGTGATCTTTTGATGTCCCGTGTAATCCAATCAGTAATGGCTCTAATCCAGCGGTTGTCTGTAAACCTCATTACGTGTTCAGCCCATCTGATTTTTGATGTCTTGGCAAATGAGACAGCGTCCCTGATTCTTGAGCGTTGACGAAGATCAGAACTCCGGATTCTATCTCTCATTTGAGTGAATCGTGATATTCCAAGCATAGTTCTTTCGATTCCTCTTTGAGAGACCCGAATAGCGTTCTCATCCTGTTTTCGTAGGGTCCAGGTCTCTGAGGCATATGTTAATGCAGGAAGAATAGTGGAATCAAAGAGATGTGCTCATAGCTGGAGGTTCTTTGTCCTTTTAGTTATTTCTTCAATGCTCTTGAAGGCATTCCAAGCCGCTCTCTTCCTCCTGCGCAACTCAGGTGCCAGGTCATTCATCATGTTGATTTCTCGACCTAGGTATATATAACTGTTGCATTTGGAGATGGTGGTTCCGTTGAGAGCGAATGGAGCGTCAGGAACAAGGCTGTTTCTCATAAACATTGTCTTCGTAAGATTCAGCTGTAGTCCGACCTTTCCACATTCACGGTCAAAGTCGTTCAGCATTTGTGCCGCTTGGCTGATGTTTGGTGTTATTAAAACAATGTCATCAGCAAAGCGGAGGTGGTGTAGTTGCCGACCATCTATCTTCACTCCCATGTTTTCCCATTCCAGTCGTCGCATGATGTTCTCGAGGGTGGCACTGAAGAGTTTTGGTGAAATGGTATCACCCTGCCGAACCCCTCTCTTGATATGGATGATTACTTTTTTGTAGAATGGTGAGATTTTGGTAGTGAATCCGCAATAGAGCTCACGAAGGATCCTGATGTATTGAGTTTGTACGCCCTGATTGGCTAGGGCTTCCATGACTGCTCCCGTCTCAACAGAATCAAAGGCCTTCTTTAAATCAATGAATGTTAGAGCAGCATCTTGAACTCCCGAGATACCTCAATGAGCTTGGTTATTGTGTGGATATGGTCGATGGTACTGAATCCTTTTCAGAATCCAGCTTGTTCACAAGGTTGTCCTTCATCTAGTGTTATGCTAATCCTATTCAGGATGACTCGAGTGAATAGTTTGTAGATGACAGACAAAAACAATCTTTGAAAATGTTGAACAAAAAACTTTTTATATTTTTCTATCTTTGGGTACCGAAAATTAAACCCAGGGCTTCATCACAGCAAGTAGACTACAGCTTCATCTCTGGAACTTAATCTATGTATGTATGTATGTATGTATGTATGTATGTATCTATCTATCTATCTATCTATCTATCTATCTATCTATCTATTCTGTTCATCTGTAGAACCCTCCTAGTATGTCCATTATTTTTTTTTTATAATTTATTTATTTATTGAATCACTGTGGGAAAAGTTACAGAGCTTTCGGGTTTAGGTCTCAGTCATGTAAATATCAAACACATTTCCCTTTCCCAATACTTATTTTTAACCCCGAACCCCAATAGACCCCCACCTCCCACCCCTCCCAATTCTTGTGAGGCAGATGAGTTCTAGTTAATACTCTATCTACTTTGACTAGATAGATTGTTTCGATAGAAGATGCACAATTATTGTTTAGAGTTTACGACCCACCCCCCACAATCAGATATGCTGAAACAGCGTTGTGAAATGATTTGCTTTCTACAACTTGGTTTAAGAATAAAATGATGTCGCGCGGCTGCGCGGTTTTGAATTTCTGCTATTTTACTTATTGACCCTGGAAGAATTTCTATTAAAAGTTAGATAGTTAAGAGATTGGTTTCTGTGCCCTGGAGTCGTGGCCGTGCCGGAGAGCCGCTCGTGGGGGGCAGCTGGCGACCTCGGTGGGGCATGGGGGACGGCCCACAAAGCCCCCCTTCCCATGAGGTCCCCGCTGCTCCCGCCGAGCCCGGCTCAAACCTGCTGTCCACAAGGCTCCTGTGCGGCCACCATCTTTCTTTCCAGAGAGGAGCGGGCGGGCCGGTCAACACCCTTTCCCCTCCGGGCAGGCTTGGTGGCGCGGTTTAACACATAGTCCATTTGCTTTTCTGCTCCAAGCGGCTGGTTCTCTGTGCTAAGTCCTTGTGCCTCCGGGGCTGTGGCCGTGCTGGAGAGCCGCTCGTGGGGGGCAGCTGGCGACCTCGGTGGGGCGTGGGGGACGGCCCACAAAGACCCCTTCCCATGAGGTCCCTGCCGCTCCCGCCGAGCCCGGCTCAAACCTGCTGTCCACAAGGCTCCCGTGCGGCCGCCATCTTTCTTTCCAGAGAGGAGCGGGCGGGCCGGTCAACACCCTTTCCCCTCCGGGCAGGCTTGGTGGCGCGGTTTAACACATAGTCCATTTGCTTTTCTGCTCCAAGCGGCTGGTTCTCTGTGCTAAGTCCTTGTGCCTCCGGGGCTGTGGCCGTGCTGGAGAGCCGCTCGTGGGGGGCAGCTGGCGACCTCGGTGGGGCGTGGGGGACGGCCCACAAAGACCCCTTCCCATGAGGTCCCTGCCGCTCCCGCCGAGCCCGGCTCAAACCTGCTGTCCACAAGGCTCCCGTGCGGCCGCCATCTTTCTTTCCAGAGAGGAGCGGGCGGGCCGGTCAACACCCTTTCCCCTCCGGGCAGGCTTGGTGGCGCGGTTTAACACATAGTCCATTTGCTTTATTTAAATTATTACAGAATATTTTATTCTCCTTAACTAAAATAGATGAGAGATTTAAAAGCTCAAATTGATTTGTTCTATTTAATATTCTTGTTACTTTATCCCCATCCATCTAGTCCACCTATCTCCATTATCATTTTTTTTCAATCAACATACCATCTCTAGCACAAGATCAGTGAAGAGTTTTAAAGACACTCTGGTGTAGGCTTCAGTTTTTTTCTTCTTTGTTTTAAATCTCTCTCTTCAGTGGCTATTACCTGGCCACTGTGGGTTGTAAGTGTTGTCCCTAGTAATTATTTTATATCAAATTAACACCTTATATTTAGCCAACAATTAATATAATTTATGCTGAGATAATAGTTTAAGTAGGCTCATATACTATGGATTAATTGTCATAAGTTTTCTAGTTATTTAGAGATTTTCTTTTTCTACCTTAAAATATGAACATTTACTACTATTTTTGATAAAGTTGTGTCTTCATTTTCTTCTTTAGGTTCAGAGTAACATTCTGACTAAAAACATAAACAGACTAAATCTGTTTATTAACTTATTTACTTTGTTTGGGGGCCATACCAGTGGTGCTGACTTACTTCTAGTTCTGTGTTCAGGTGCTCAGAGTATCTTATTCAGTGTTGGGGATTGAATCCAGGTCACCCATAAAGGTAAAAGGCAAAGGTAAAGGCCCTCCCGTTGATCATTGATTTGCTCGAGCGGGCCCAGTAACGTCCCCATTGGAGACTTTGTTGTTACTGTGTTTGGCATATCGAATACGTCACGGGGAGCTTGCCAGGCTCTGCCGTGCAGGCGAGATACTCTCGGTAGCTTGCTAGGCTCTCCGAGAGGGGCTGAGGAATTGAACTCGGGTCAGCCATGCTGGCTGCGTGCAAGGCAAATGCCCTACTGCTGTGCTATCGCTCCAGCCAAAAGCTGATGGTGTGTGTTGGCCGGGAATGCGAACCCGGGTCAACTGCTTGGAAGGCAGCTATGCTCACCACTATACCACCAACGCCGCCTGTACAAGGCAAATGTTCTTCACCAATATACTGTCTCTCCAGCCTTTAAATTTACTTTCGAAATTAAAGCAATTCAGCTGATGGTCGGGAGGCCTGAGTTTCTTTTTAAATAGTTTATTTTTCTTTAAATTTTAATTGTCACAGTTTATGTGATATGTTTACAATAGTGTTAACATTTGTGCTTTTGATGTACACAGCTACCATAGCTCACCAAAATGCCCAAGATCATACACCACTGTCCTTATGTTATTTAACCTCTTCAGCCCTCCTTTGCCCTTTCATCCTCCACATTCCCCTCCAGCTGTGTGCTTAATATTTTCAGTTCTGTCATCCAGGGTCAAAAGTTTAGATGAGGGGCTGGAGCGTTAGCACAGTGGGTAGGGTGTTTGCCTTGCACGCAGCCAACATGGCTGACACGGGTTCGATTCCCAGCACCCCAGATGGTCCCCTGAGCATCGCCAGGAGCAATTCCTGAGTACATGAGCCAGGAGTAACCCCTGAGCATTGCCGGATGTAACTCAAAAAGCAAAAAAAAAAAGTTTAGATGAATGTATTTTACATTACATAGTAATATGTGACTTTTCAAAGCAATAATAAATTTAAAACTACAACAAAACTACACTTTGTTATTTCTTCAGAGAGATTTGCATCATATACAATTTACGACAGATTATCTTCTCAGTGCTACTCAAAAAATGTTACTTGAAATCAATGGTCTAGGTACTCAAACATTCTCCTTCATATGTGCTTAACTGTGTTCTCTGTTATCTGACTGAACCAACTAAAGTCATTTCTCTTAAAGACATCAATTGCTTGAGGGAAAGAAGAGTTTTCTCTCCAGGGCTGGGGGAGGACTTTTGCTTTGCACTTTAAAATGTTTGCTAAGTTCCAAGAAGATATTAGGGTGAGTTGACTGACAACAGGAAAAATATTCCTGGCAGAGAAGAAAGCCAGAGGAGATTCATATGCAGACAAAATTTTTACTACTGGGCTGTTTGGATCCCTATGTCTATTCTAATATGCCAAGCTGGGATAAATCAATTGGGCTCTAAAAAATGGTAGATAAAAATGTGATTTCACAATAATTCTAGAGTTTTGCAGAATATCCATCTTAAGCATTTTCCCCCAAAAGAGTTATTTATTACTGGGCAAAGCTATATAGCTATTTCTATATATGTACTACTCAAAGAAAAAAATCCTTGAAAACTCTACATTTTAAAAGTGTTATAAAAATACGACAGTTTTGCTGAAGTGCTAGTGAGTTTAAAGAGACTGGGACCCACAAAGATATGCCAGAAATCTGAAAACAAAGAGGGAAATTGGGTCAGATGATGTAGTGTAGTGTTTGGTGGATATGACCACTTTCCAACTGACAATTTGCCTTCAAGAGAGGCCAGGATGAAGGGTCCTGACTGTGGGTGTGGGACATGTGTGTCTACAGCTTGTATCTATTATGAAATATTAAGGGCTGGTAATCTCTTGCATATTCCAGGGAACTGGACCCACATTATAGTTGCAAAGAGGAATAAGGATACATGAAAGTAGTGTTGGGATAGACAGCAAGAAACCAATGCTTCAGAGACCCTAGGGAAAACTTTTGTAGTCAGTGATTCATAACAATATCATGACAATTTTCTTTTCTTTGGTTTCTCAAAGAAAATTATTAAACTTGTGAGGGTTATCAGAGCAACAGTTTATAGACACTATCTTTAATGCAGGGTATCACTTATTTTGTGAACATTCCTCAAACAACAGAGGGCATTGTAACTTATGCGTGTAAATAGAGCAGAAACTGGACAGTAGTTTATCCTATTGCCAGACTTGCCATCTCCTTTTTTTTTGTCCTTGAAGACCTTATATATTTCCTCATCCAAGACCTCCAAACTGAATTTTATAATCATACTGTCCTCCCTTGGTTGATAGAAGCCTTGGACTTTTTCCTTACTGCAACATTTCATTAAGCAAAATGAATGGTATAAGTAAAAATTCAATCTGAAGTCATCCAGCATTGATTTGTGGTCTGCTTAACCTCTTTATATTCAACTATAGATAGAATTAAATGCAATTGGTATAAAATATAAATCTCATAACAAGAATACAAAGACTATGGTTAGGTATTACCCTCAATTCTTTCCTGAAGAAATATCATTTTGAGAACTACTGAAGAATTGTCTTAACCCAAATTTTTATTAACTAGATAAAAAATAAACTGAAGATAGCAAGAACAATGAAATAACTCAAAACTTAACAATAATAAGAGAATGTAGTGGGAATTACTAAACCGTCTATTCAGAGAGACTGAAATCTACTAAGAATAACTTTGTTAAGTTCTTAACTTTTAAATGAAAATCAAAACAACAAAGAGCTGTCACCTCACACCAGCAAGATTTGAATACATCAAAAAGAGTAGTAGTAATAAGTGCTAGTGGGGATGTGGGAAAAGAGAGCCTTCATTCACTATTGGTGGGAATGTCATCTGGTTCTATGTTTATTGGAAATTGTATGGAGACTTCTCAAAAAAATTTTAAAACTGAGCTTTCCTGTGACCCAGATATTCCACTTCTTGGCATCTGCCTAACACTTCATGAAAGATATTTGCACTTGTTATTCACAATAATTTATTAAATTTAATATTCCAACACCAATCCCACCACCATTACACCTTCCTACCACCCTATTTTAAGTGTTTCCACCTGACGCCCAGAGCCTGCACACGTAACAGGACTAAATAATTTATTTTGTATTGCTTGTTATGAATAATATACTAAAAATGATCCCAAAAAGTTTTCTTAGAGGAAAGTGTGGGAAGATTGTTGTATTTTACCCTGGATTTTATTAAGCCCTGTCTTGGTACATCAGTGGTGTAAAGTATATGATGTTCCTCCAGGAATTCTAAAATTTTGAATAAAATGATATAGCTGAGTTTAATTTCATTTTTTATTTTTAACTGAATGATTACTTTAGAGTGCAGAGGCATCTCTGTGGCACGTTGCTGTCATGTTGCTCTCTTCTGAGAGATTTGTTTGTGAGTCCCTAGATCATGGTCATTCATGAGTTTATATGGCACCAGAAGCAATTTGTGGGTGTGACTGCCAGGCTGTGGGAAGCACAGAGAGATTGGGGTAGAGAGATTGATGAAATCTCTGACTTCATGCGAGCCTGGAGATTTTGGTCACAAGTTCTGAATACTTTGGTTTTTCAGAAAATTCACTCATGGATGAGGCTCGTTCAAGCCTGTGGAAACCGGCCATGAGCAGCATTGCAGGGATTGAGTTCTGGAGGTTTTTGGTTGTCGAGACTCTGTTAAGGTAGATGGGGAGACTCACCTGCCCCTCCACTCTGGGTTGCCCCTGATGAAGGAGGCTGGTGCAGGGTCTGGAGACATCTTCGTGGTGTGTTACTCATATGTTGCTCTCTTTTGAGAGATTTTACTTCTTTCTGTATTATTTCGGGCAGGAGAGATAGCACAGAGGTAGGGCATTTGCCTTGCACGCAGCCAGCACGATTGAGCCAGGTTCGATTCCTCTGCCCCTCTCAGAGAGCCTGGCAAGCTACCAAGAGTATCTTTCCCCCCCCTCGCATGGCAAAGCCTGGCAAGCTACCCATGACATATTCAATATGCCAAACACTAATACAAGTCTCAAAATGGAGACGTTACTGTGCCCACTCAAGCAAATTGGTGAACAACGGGAGGACAGTGACAGTGAAAGTGACTATATTATTTCAGAATAATCTCATGTTATTTCACAATTAAAAAATGTTATAAAAATGGTCTAGAACAAAGTCCTATATCTGTGATCCCTTATTTTTCCTTTCTCCCTTATATTTTTTCTGTATAGCAGATAAGAAGACTGAGACATGCTACATGACTTTGGGCAAGTTAGAGAACTTTTCCTTTCTCCCTTTTATTTTTTCTGTATAGCAGATAAGAAGACTGAGACAAGCTACATGACTTTGGGCAAGTTGGAGAACTTGCCCAAAGTCATGTAGCTTCTAAGGCACAGAGCAGGCACTTAAGATAAAGCAGTTTACTTCCAGGCTCTCTTTTCTTAACCACAATGCAACTCTACTTTTTAATATAATTAGTATTTGATCATGCTCTTAAGAAAAACAGGATAATGCTCTGCTCAAGGAAGCTTTCTTAAAAGGTATGTTACAATTTATGCCCTCCAATGTATTCATTTTAAATGGAGAAGGTGCTTGTGTCAGACCTGGCAGTGCTCAGAATTGACAGTTCAAGGGAACTCTATGTGATGCTGGGGAATCTAACCAACATTGGCTACAGAGCCAAGAAAGTGTTTTAATCTCTGCTATCTCTACAGCTCCTCAAATGTCTTCTATCTCTATAAAGAGTAAATAATGTCAAATTGTAAACAATACTAGGTAGCTAAGATTATGATGAAAAGAGTGATTTAAACGAGTTTTCTGAAGTTTTTTTTTAAGGTGGCCAGGTCACTAAAAGTAGGGAAAATTTTAAAAAACTTCGATGCTTAGACTTTGAGAAATTTTTAACAAAGAACAATGTGCTTTTTATGCTGTTCAAGGAAAGCCATCTAAAATATAAATAACTTAAAAAATGTATCTAAAATTCACTGAGACAGATGGCCTAAAATAATTTGAATCATCTATGGGTAGAGTGAGTGTTTGATGAAACCCCAGCAGGTGAGTGAGAATTACTAACATAAAACAAAGGAATTTAAAACACTATTATTGCGCCATTAATATAGAAATTAGAGTGACTGGATAATTCAGATGCTTGTCTTGATACCTTTAAAAGTGGAACATGTGATGCCTTGGGCCCCAAACAATTAGTCCTGTGTGTCATTGAAGCTTGGGAGTGACAAGAGCCTTTGACAGCTCTGAACAATGAGCCAGTGCCCAGGAGAACAGCAATAGAGAAATTGACTTGATTTGATAGTTCTTTTTGTTTAAAGCAACCAACATTTCAGTGATCTACAATACTCCAGAGTTATATTTATCTACTCTTACTGTAATG